TGAACTGCAAGGCTCTCCACCTGAAAATGTAATAATGATCAAACAAGAGGAGCACATAATCTTTATTAGATTGATCATTTTCTCCTTTTTAAACTGCTTTAAATTGGAAATGTTGGTGATATAAACATAACTTTTATTACTCTAAACATTTAAAATAAAACAAGATAACCATACCTGATATTTTCTATATTCCAACCCATTCAGCAATAGTAATAATGCCTCAGCAAACACCATTAATAAAAATGTAGATGATTAATAATAAAGAAATGTTTAATTAACATGTTTTTATTAAATTAATTTAAACTTACGTAACAAATATTGTTTTATAACGTATGTTTATTCCCTTGTTCGTTTTTTAGTGCGTTTTCTTTCTTTTACGTTATTGTAGCCTTTGCTGCCATCTAGTGTACTACGTAGACAGTTCACAATAGAAAAGGAGAGTACATAAGTTTCTGTTTCTTTCGAGAGCGATCCATCTTGTTCTCAGATTCAAACATGCATCAGAGATAAACACTTGATGACATTTCCAGTTTTAATGTTGACATTACATTTAATCACATTCATTTTTATTATACAAGCCTTTCTCTTCAAAAGTTTATATGACTGAAAATAACATTCAACATGGAGCATGCCTGCTTTGCATTGTAAGAATGGGGAAGGGTTGCAACTGCAACATCAACAGACTATATAAGATCTCTGATCTGTTTATAGAGACTGCAATGTCCATCTAATGGAATGACTGTCAAGGCGTTGCTCTTTCTACAAATGGCTGTGGCAAAAGTAGTGTCTGTTGCGCCAACACAAACGAACACAGGAGAAGCTGACTACAACTGCATACCCATATATGTTATGTACATACACAGAATTACATACTTACAAGAAAATGTAAATACTGTATATAAAGAAACATAATCAAAAAATCGAATTGAATTAGGAATTTCTGAGACGAAACATTAACATTAACACATCTTTTCATCAGGGAGGATAGAAACATTGAGTGTAAATCACCTCATCTGAGCATTTTACAAGTCCATCTCTGCATGGTACATTCATACAGAGAGTAAGATGGTTCGAGAGCGAGACAGTTTGAGGAGCTTCAGAAATGCAGTCTCCGGTAAAGAGTCCATGCATGGGCAGCTCTCGTTCTCTGACACATTTGAGACACATTCACATTAATGTACAGTACATCACAGTCATTGAGCTTCACCTAAGCTTTATTATGACAATGTAAGTTTACTGCCAATAGGACAGGTCATTCGATAAGGTCACTGCGAAACCCTCTTCAAGTGGAATACCATCCCAGGTTTAGATGAGAAACTCAATTATAATCACTCGATGAGAGTTGGCATTCCATAACTAAGAGGTTCAATGTTGTTTTCATCGAAACAAAAAAACTGAAAGGTTTAAACTCTTTCTCATTTAGGTCAATAAGCACGTTCAGTCATTATACTTCTTGGTCAATTTTGAAAAAAAAAACATGATTTCACATAGGCATTTACAGTACTTTCAGATGATTGCTCACTCAATTACAATTTCAGTGCATTTAACCTGGGTCTAACATGTAACTCAACTCGAAGGCTAATTGCCCTTGATAAAGAATGAAATAAATGAGGTTTATGGAAGGTATAAAAACATAAAACAACTAAACCAACCAACCAACAAAACAAGCACTTACACTCCAACGCGGCCTCGCGCAAAGTCAACACAGGATTCTAGTTAGTATGTGCTACTGTACCTTTAAATTTCCACAATAGCTACACGTTATTTTAAAAGAGTGGATGAAAATCACTTATGGCACAATCAAGTTCTCTATGATCCCACACCTACAGACAAGATGACTAGATCTTTTTTTCCCTCAAGCCTGGTTTAAATACACATATAGCGCACGTTTATCAAGATGAGGCCTGAGAAAGACAGTAAACCCACTGCTGATCCAGTCCTTTCTGAATACATACACAACTGTGACTTGTATCACAGAACATGTTCTTGAGCAACTCAAACAAATTCTGATATGAATCCATTAGCTGTTATTGCAAAATGTTTATCATACCACAATACCAAAATATAGATGTTAAAAACTAGATTGATCCTCTGAAAAGTGTCTAAAATGTCCAAATAGTTCATCATCGCATTCTTAAAGTACAACAAGTATGTAAAAAAAAAAAGCGGGGAAGTCGTGGCCTAATGGTTAGAGTCGGACTCGTAACCCAAAGGTTGCGGGTTCGAGTCTCGTACCGGCAGGGATTGTAGGTGGGGGGAGTGAATGTACAGCGCTCTCTCCCACCTTCAATACCACGACCGAGGTGCCCTTGAGCAAGGCACCGAACCCCCAACTGCTCCCCGGGCGCCGCAGCAAAAATGGCTGCCCACTGCTCCGGGTGTGTGTTCACGGTGTGTGTGTGTTCACTGCTGTGTGTGTGCACTAAGGATGGGTTAAATGCAGAGCACTAATTCCAAGTATGGGTCACCATACTTGGTCACATGTCACGTCACATGTCACGTCACTTCACTTTTTAAATGTGATTGTGAGTGTATTATGTTGATTTTATTTGGATTTACTATTTGGCAGCAATATTGTATTGAACTGCAAGGCTCTCAAAATGAAAACGTCACAACGATGTAGCATATAATCTTTAAATCAGTTATTTTCACTTTTTTTTACATTTTAAAATTTTGGTGATAGAAAAATAAATCACATTTATTACTCTGAACATTTTCCTTAAAAAATAAGATACTGGTACCTGACCCATAAAATATTTTCTTTCAATTATGGCTTCTGGCAAAACATTTAAATCTACTGTGATGTCGTTAGTTTCCAATGGAGTTAAAATAGTAAGTACAACCCATCTCACATTAGATATCAGTTATGATCAACTTTTTGCTAAAAAAAAAGTGTACTATAAGTAAGGCCCACAAAGCCCTGCGCTCAGAACAATATGGCTGCCAGTAAGATTTTGAAAAACTGGGTCTACATCCACGCCCAGCAAGTAAGATAAAAACCTCAGCTCTTGGAGGTCCCTAGCAAAATTTTCATAACATCAGAAATGTATAGCTACATCAGTATCATTGGTGAGAGATAAATTCATTTTAGGGCTGAATAAACAACCATAAGAATGCAAATGCTAAAATTGAAAAACAAAATATGCATAACCATATTAGAACACTAACTGTGTTATAAAAATAGCTGATTTATGAAATTCCAATGAAAAACAGCAGTAATGTTAGAGACTATAAAATATCACCTTTAACTAATTAGGATAGATACAATGGGATTTCATTGGGAATACACTGACATGTCTAGTTTTTTAGTGTACTTATAGACAAAATATTATCAAGCCCTGAACTGATCATGATGTAATTGTAAAGAACAGCTGCATTTATATTTTACATTTTGCTGATTGTTAGCCCTAAAATTCAACATTTACCAATGGCACATATTTCAGTGATATCATTATATTTTTGGCACAATATGTTCAAATAGTTATTATTCAACATGAAACTGCAGTTTAAAAAAGACATTAACTAATACCAAGGTAGATTCTGTGGTCTCCCATACCACCTTTGGTATCTCTAAAACGACTAATCTAACAACATGTTATCTACTTGTACGAATAATTCAAATACGAAACAATAAATAAATGAATAAATAAACTAACAGACAGCTAGATAGATAAATAATTTGAAATTAAATAAATATGTTTTGCCTCATGATTCCTGGCATACTTTTTAAGATATAAAAAAATAATTAACATTCTTACCTCTGAATATGCATATGGTGCTTTACGTAGCTTTACAAAACATAGATGTACATAAATACACTCTCGGATTCACAGAGATTTGTCACTCTCAGGTATATTGTCACTTTGGGGATGTGAGAATAGCAGTTTTTTTATTGTATCATACTTTTTTTTTTTTTTACTTGAAAATATTTATTTACTTACTTTTCAATGCAAATGTCTGTTTTAAATTGCTCTTTCCTTTCAATTTCTGTGAAATCTGATATCTGACCATGTTCTGATTGGAAAAGAGAAAAAATAGTAAAATAAAAAAGGACTATCAATGGTGCTAAGAGCAAAATCTTGAGCAGATACTGAACAAAATAAGCTAATTTTTGGATCAGAATGATCCTCCCTTTCCATGTGTTTTGCTGGGCCGAAGTTTGGATTTAGTACTCAAAACAGAGCACTTTAAAACATAGAATTCTCTATTTCAAAACCACCACAAACCCAAAGAGATACAATGGATCATGTTCTGAAGAATTACTTTTAATTGTGTAAACTTTATTTTGCCATAACTTAGTGGGGAATTATGAAATAACGGGAGGCTCAGTTACAATTTGAGACCAATAAGTGCAAACTGAATTGATCAAATCAATTCCTGGGGATAAAAGACTCAAGTGGCATACAAATACTGAACAATTAGCTCTCTTCATCCTTGTTGCAGCCTCCACATACATAGCTACATATGGGAACTGAAACAGACAATGAGAGAGACTGCTGGAGTATCTTTATGCTGACGAAGAGCTTGTCTTCAGTTAGTTTCGGAAGAAACTTTTATATATTTTGATATTTTTTATATTATCTTACTACGTAATGAAACACTTATGGTGGTTTCAAGTCCGTTCTGCTCAAGTGTCAAAATACTATGCTGCCTTACTGAAAAGGAATAAAAGGAATAGTTCACCTAAAAATCATCTATTCATCTTAATATCACTCAAAATATATATGATATTTTAGTTATCTAGCAGACCGCTGTCTTTAGTTTTTGGGTGACCTATCCCTTTAAATCAACAAACCATAAATGACAAATATAAAAAACAAACAAACAAAACAAAACTGAAAAAAGGATTAAGACACTGCAGATTGTTTCCTGAATTAAGCATTTTTTCTGAACCCAATTCTTTGTCCCAAAGCCCAGACAGCAACCAAAAACAACGGTGATAAGTAGTCAACTATCATCTCCCAACCTTCCCACGCAAAATGTGAGAAAAAATTAAATAAAATGTTCAGTGTTCTACTCAATGGAGTTACTATTTCATCAAGCAGCAGTTGGTATGAGTGTAGAAAATGAGAAAATAGAGGCTTCACTATAATGGTGGGAGGAAAATACCACCAAAACTTTCTTTAATGAACATTTTCCCTCATTTGTATTCCTGTCATACCTGCAACTCTCTTTTTCCCTCTCACAGAGGCAAGTCGGTACTGTTGTGGCGTGTCTTCCGTGAGGTGCCGTCATCCCGAGGGAGAGCCTTCTGTAGGTTGGACATGGCTGCTGTCTTCTTTAGGTCAATCACGGCGTAGCATTCTCCTCGGCGGGAGGACGGAGCCGCTGTGGCGGCAGCCATGCCACGTTTGAGGGGAGGAGGTCTCTGTGGTACCGGAGCCCCTCCTCCATGTCCCGAGCAACCGGAGGGCTCACCCTCCAGGTCCACCTGGATGTAGTTGAGCTGGCGAGAGGGAGGAGGAGGAGGCGGGTGACGGCTGTGCTGCTCGCAGGTGGCGCTGCCACGTCCCACTCGCTGACGTCTGAAGTCGAAGTTGAAAACCCGGTTGGCCCTCTCAGGCGGGTGAGGGTGGGGAGGGCAAGCGTGACGAAGATGTGTTGGAGGCTGTAGCTGTTAAGAGTTTGCATGTAAGTACATTTCAGTGTTACTAGTCAATAAAAAATTTTAAATAATTTTATACAGACTGAACTTTCAAAGAGCAATAACTAGCCAATTTAATTATTTTAGAGCTAAGCATAACTATATAAATAAATATTCACTCTAGAAATTTACCTGACATTTATAAAATTATTATTATTATTGTATTTACCTTGCATTATAATTTTATAATAAAATATTTTTTTATATTTAATTTGTAATTTTATTCTATTCGATGAATTCATATATGTTCAATATTCATATAAATATTATATAATATATATATATATTATTATTTTATTTTTATTTATTTATTTTTTTACTTTTTTTGTGTATTTATGAAATTTTACTTATTCACATAACTTCCCAGGCCTGGAAATCAGTATTTTACAATTCCCTGATATTACCCTGGAATTAGATTTGGCATATTCTCTACATGTATTTGCTCATGCTCTTGTTGACGCACCTGTTCAGTGTTGACATAGTTCTGCAGGGCATCACGATGAATCCCACCGCTGCCACCACTCTCTTGATGGTATCCATTTGGGGTTGTGGGCCCTTCGGAATACTCATACTCATCATATTCTTCTTCCTCTTCCTCCTCATACTCGTCCTCATCCTCGTCTTCATCCTGATCCTCTTCTTCCTCACGCTGAAGCGCACGATATTCCCAAACCGGGGGGAGTGACGGAAGGTTCTCATAGTTGAGCAACGCGGTGCGCCGATGACCACCAACCCCCATTCCCCGGTCACACCCATATCCCTGTGGAGGCAGCGGGGAGGCGTGTGTGTGCGTGAGCGGGAGGGAGTGCGGATGCGTGTGTGTGCGCGAATCACCGGTGGTGCTGCTACTGCTACTGGAGCCCAAAGACTGAGATTGAGACACAGTGCTCGGACTCAGCCTTTGCCTACGTGCCCCACGGAGTCCGTTGATATTCTCATATGTCAGCTGGCTTTCCGGGCAAGGCTCCATGCTAGGGTGTCGGTGGATTAGATGATGACAATGGTGGTAAGAGTGCGTGTTGCACATGTGTACGGACGGAGTCTCCTCTCCTTCTGTTTCAGAGCTGCCGTCTGGTGCTCGAATCGGGTGAGTGATGTGGCGGTCTCTGTCTCTTTCCATTAGGTGGCGCTGTGCTGGGGTCGGGCCTAACATGAACTTCACCTCCTGGGCTCCAGGCTGGAGGAAGACCTGAGGGTCTTTGTGAGGGTCGTCCAGGGAGCAACAGTGCATGCTGGGCTGGCCTGGGACTGGGCCCCCACGTATGGTGGTGGTAGTTGAAGTTTCCGGGAAGGTGGTGGGCCGTACTTCGGGCAGGGAGTGGACACAGTGGTGGCTTGAGAGGTCAGTTTCCATGCTCACTGTATTCACATATGTATGGGTCTGGAAACAAACGAGAAAAGGTAGTTAAATTGATGTTTAAATGACTGATGGCACACTATTTACCTGGACTAAATTTTACATTATTAATATTTTAACACCTGGAAAAAGATAAAGTGTTCCACTTTTGAAGCAAAGGATCTGAACTGTCCATTTGTAAATAGACTCTTATTACAGACTGTGATGATGGTGTTTCCACAGATAATATTGTAAATCTAAAAGAGTTTTTTATGTTTTCATTTTAAAAAATTATGTAGATTTATAACTGTCACAAATCGGGTTTATAAACTTCCGTTCTCTCACCACCAGAGGTCACCGGCTCTCCACATGGACTACACAGACTGTTACACATCCCCCTGGACTACATTTCCCATGCTCCATTGCACTAATCACAAGCTCACCTGAAACCAATCACACACAACTGCTACCAATAACACACAATATATAAATCAGTCTCACACCACCATTCAACGCCAAGTATTGTTTAGCGTTTATCACTTTGATAGCTACTTTACGGAGCCTGCCCTAGTTTTCATAGTCTAGTCATAGTCTTGCCTTGCCTGTTTTCCTGGTTCCTGATTCTTGCCACGTATCTTGGATTAACCCTTTGCTTGCTGTTTCGGACTGTGTTTGCTCCTCGCCTGGCCTTATGCTCACGTTTACGGATTACCCCTTTTGTCAAACCCTCTGGATTACGTTTGCTGTCGTCTGACTCAAGCCCGTTTAGGATTGCTCTTTTGTCTTGCCTGTGCCATACCTGTTTGCTGTTGTTCGACCCTGCCTGTGTTTTTGACTATGTATATTAATAAAAGCTTGCACATGGATCCGCACGCCTCTCGTCTCGTCAGCTCCGTAACAATAACACTATACTTTGCGTTTTATTACCTTGGCATTAAATTAATGAAAACTGGTTAATTCTGCTGTGTGAGTGTTTCTGATACAGTGGCTAAGGAAGTGACAGCAAATTTGACACCTTTTTCTCTTCTAACAAACATAATCGGTCTGCAATATTTTTTTTCCCTCTTATGGAAAGTCATAGAACCGCTATCATGGATTTTTTCTTTTGCTATTGGGGCGAATGGAAATGCAAAAATTATAGTTGTTTCCGATCACCACTAGAGAAGTTTACCAATCTTTAATGACTCCTGCTTCTGAGAACCCCAGAAATGTAAAAAGGGTCCAATTCATCTAATTAATTTCAAGTTAAGTAATATTATTATTCAAACGTACAAAGTCCTCAAAAGTTTTTTTTTTAATTTAAGACACACTTACGCATATTAATGTCAACTGCATTAGATAAAACAACATCAAATCAAGTGTCATTTACTTAAAGGGGTCATATGATGCGATTTCAAGCTTTCCTTTCTCTTTGGAGTGTTACAAGCTGTTCGTGCATAGATAAGATCCCTAAAGTTGCAAAGACTAAAGTCTCAAACCTAAAGAGATATTCTTTATAAAAGTTAAGACTCGTCCACGCCCCCCTAAAACGCCTCGTTTAAACACGCCCCCACATGTCTACATCACTGTGTGGGAAGATTTGGATTTTCGGCGCGCATGCTGACCCTATACAGTCTATGATGCTGACAAATAATGCTGACTCACAGCCTGTAAGTACGTTTTCATATTTAAAGGATTTGCCACTGATGATTCAAACGCGAGTTTTGAGCAGTGTAGAGTAGCGCTTGTTGTTTGTCGTTTCTCCGATCACAAATGCAGACATGGTTTTATGTTATCGCGGCGCGATGCAACGCAACTCGTAAAAAGACAGTATAAGTAATTATAATCAGTAATTATGTCCCCACTGGATGCAACAAATGCCTAGTTTATAATGGGTTTTATTGGTTTTGTCTCGTAGCGCCGGGACATGGCATCACAGTATGGTAAGGGGCTTAACATTTCCGTCACACGCTTGAGGAATTCGACCAATCACAACGCACTAGATAGCTGGCCAATCAGCGTACATCTTGCTTTTCAGAACGATGAGCTTTGTAAAAATCGAGGCATTTCAGAAAGGCGGAGCATAGAGGATGTACAGTACAGTATGTTGAAAATAATGTGTTTTTTTAACCTTAAACCGCATAAACACATTTCATTACACCAAATACATAAAATAATGTTCTTTTTTAGCAACGTCATATGACCCCTTTAATATAAAGTAGCACAACATACTTTTCAAGCAAAAATGAATAAAACAAGTTGTTTTGAGAAAAGGTCTAACATTATTTGTTTATTTGTCTAATGCAATGCTGCTTGAGCATCCAGATACTTTTTGAGGCTACTGTATGTGTGCAAAGGCAGGTGTTTGTTCTCACATGGTCATCCAGTCCCATGAGGCTGTGTCTGTGGTCGTTGGTGAGAGAGGGCTGCGATGAGTCTGCACTGATTGGGTATCCTGGGAATCCATTAGGAAAACCCTGCATTGGGAATGCAGGGGCTACACAAAAAGACCAAAGCACAGTACACATAAGCAGGTAACATTTAGGTCTTCCTCCTATAAGCTACATTCTGTTGATATGTGGGCAAGATATGTCATCAAGAACATGTGTGAAATGAGTCATCAATATTTTTGGACCATTTTGCCTATGACCTCAATGGCCTGTCTAACAAAAGCCTAATGCTAACAGACTAAAAACCACAAAACTCCAATTTTGTTTCTTTGGGGTCTTTAAAATAATTATACATACCTACATAGAATAGATATGCTTTCAAAAATTCACTATGACTATTTAAGTGAATTGTGACATTGAAACAAGCATTTTCTGTAAAGCTGCTTTGAAACAGCATGTATTGTGAAAGCGCTATACAAATAAACTTGAATTCCAAAAGGCTAAAATGATGACTAGTTACATATTATGTTACAAAAATCTCCTAATGTCAATGTTATGACAGAAATGTCAATGCTTCACAGCACACCTGAAAATAAAAATAAAGTTGTGAGAGACATTTAATGAACGGAGTGTGAAAATATGTAAATACAGGTGGATAGGTGTTTAAATTCTACTTCTAAAAAAAGCAATACCGTTGACGTGACATAATAATTAACTTGTCTATCCATATTTCATAACTGATATCTAACATGATCCCACTGTTCAAATATTTTGACCCTATTAAAACAGTAAAGACTGATCAACTGATGACTACAGTTTTGTTTTACACATATATGTATATATGAAACCCTGTGTGGTCAAGTGTGTAGATATTTCAACTCACTATTGGGTGTCTGTGGAGTTCGAGGAATGTCCATCTCTGGTGCATGCCCGGGCCGGGTCATGATCATGGGCTCCTCCACCACATTGATGCTGTTACATTGCATCAACTCCTGCAGCAGGTTGAAAATCTCTTCTGCACGAGAACACTTGAATGCAAAGATCCCTGTCAAACATGCAAGAAAATAGCAAAACAATAATAATAAATGCATAGGTGGAGTGGTACTTTCATGCATGGGGGAAGGTGCAAAAATATATTGGCACACAAATCCTAAATTAGGATGACAGCATTAAACTGAACTTAATTTAATTATAACTAATATTACTACAAGACACGTTAAAAAGGGTAGTTCACCTAAAAATTTAAATTTACTCACCCTCATGTCGTTCCAAACCCATTGGAAAATTCATATATTTTTAATGAAACCTGAGAGGTTTCTGTCCCTGCATTGAAAGTCCAGGTAACCAAATCGGTCATACTTTAGTTTGGGGACTAATTCTCACTATTAACTAATTATTAACTAAGTCTTTTGACTCAATAAACTCCTAATTTGCTGCCTATTAATAGTTATCAAGTTAGTTGTTAATTCTAGGTATGGGGTAAGGTTAAGGGATTTAAAATATGGTCATGCAGAAATAAGTACTAATAAACAGCCAATATGCATGCTAATAAACAACTGGTTAATAGTGAGAATTGGTCCTTAAACTAAAGTGTTACCACCAAAAGATAAAAAAAAGTTTATAAAGGTGTTGTTAGACAAATTCATATGAATCAAGGGATTTAATCCAAGTCTTGTGAAGAGATACGATCACTTTATATGATAAACAGATTTAATGTAGGCTTTTATGCACAAATAAACACATACATATAGCAAATCACATATGGTAAACACAGAAGCTTGTGTGTGTGTCACTTGTGCGTCATGTGCTAGAAAAATCCTTGTCAGCATAAGCTTCCATGTTTGCAATACGTGTGTGTATGTATGTATGTATATATATATATGTGATCATTGTTTAGATGTAAATAAAAACCTAAATTAAATAAAATAAAATAAATAAATAAAAGCCTAAATTAAATCATACCATTCAAAGCAATCGTATCTTGTCACAAGATATGGATTAAACCGCTCGATTCATATGGATTTGTTTTATGATGGCCTTTATGACCTTTTTTTTTATCTTTTAAGATTGTTACTTGAACTTTCAATAGAGGGACAGAAAACTCTCAGGTTTCATTAAAACTATCTTAATTTGTGTTTCAAAGATTAACCAAAGTCTAATGGGTTTGGAACAACATGAGGATGAGTAAATTATAACAGAATCTTTATTTTTAAGTAGCCAAATCAACCACCAAATATAAAAGGCTCACAGAAGGTTTTGGTATTTGCTTTACACACAATTTAGTCTTAAATCTGCAAAAAGTAGAAGTAAAAATCATCTCACCTTGTCCTGTCTGACATCGACGGCCACTCTCGAAAGAGAAGAGGTTGGAATCGTAACCGTATCGACGCAGGCAAAGGTATGGCCACCGGATGGCATCACGTTTGCGTGTGTGCAGAATGAGCTCTGTCTGTGTGAGCTCCATGGTTCCTGAGCCCAACTCATTCCCCTCATCGTCCACATTAGTCACCTGCCAGACATAACAAGTTATCATAGCAATACTCTACTAGGCGAACTATTCTCAAATGTTGCACTTAAAATTTATAATTACTGCCACACTGCTTTTTTAAGGTTTGTTTTTATCAGAATGTGTCTTGTGAAATGCACCTTAAATTTGTTGAGATGGTTGTCTTGGATAGCGTCTCTGTATAGACAGCTCCAGCAGCTCCCCATAGCTTCAGCAGGCCAGCTGAAACCTTAAACAGGAACAAACAGATTATATATTGCTGGGACTATATGGAGACAACTGAAAGTTAATAAGCAACCATTGTTTTAAGTAAAATAAATAGGTCATGCATGAAGAGATGACTGAAGACAAAAAGAGCGCTTATATGCTCACCTGGTCCAGGCCATCAGTGGGAGTGATGCTTGTGTCAATCCCAGAATCCTCTGCTGGGTGTCATGGTGGAAGTGGGGTGTGCTGGTAAGAGCATCCAGTCCCAGGGCGCAAATGTTTCATTTTTCCTATGAAGCAGAGAAAAAGAAAGGACTTGATGTACAATCCTTTGAGTATACTGTCCTCTTTCTCAAAAAGGCCTGAGCTGTGATTAAGATACAGGGAATGAAGTTGCTCTGTCTCCCCTGACTAAATAAAATGTAATTACTTTATACTGGGAATCTTATTCTCAAGTGGAATCAGCCTACAACTGGTTTCACCTTCAGCCTATAAGATATGCACAGAAAGCTACTTAGATAAAATAACTGATAAGCACCATTTATATTTCAGGTGGCTTCAGCAAAGAAAAGAAAAAGAAAAAATCAGTTCTGTGCTATTCCAATTTAAAGGGATAGTTCACCTAAAAAAATTTAATTCTGTCATCATTTACTCATCCTCAAGATATTTTGAAGAATGTTGGTAATTAAACAGTTGCTGGTAGACATTGACTTCCACAGTATGTAAAAAAAATATCATGGAAGTAAATGGCTACCAACAGCTGTATGGTTACCAACATTCTTCAAAATATCTTCTTTTGTGTTCAATAGAAGAAAGAAATTCATACAGGTTTGGAACAACATGAGGTCAGTAAATAATTACATAATTTTCGTTTTTGAATGAAGTATCCCTTTAATGTAAAAATGATGCTGACACGTAGAAACACATGGAAAATGCAGAAAAAAATCAACTTTTGAAAAGTGCATGATCTCACCACACAAAAGTTAGATTTTTGTATTTGCTTTATTAATATATGAGGTTTTGTGTTGATGTTTTGAATCTATCCAAACACAAAGTACACAAATACCTCTATGAGTACAGAGTACCATATTCATGCATTGCTGTATTACTGTGTCTGTAGTAAATCTTTGCTTAGTTAAGGTACTGTAAGGATGCATTATTATATTAAAACCCACAGACAAAATTCCAACAGGTGTCTTTACTTAGTGTGTAATAACCACTAAATCCTATCTAATAGAATCTCTGTTCCAATAAACATGATTTTAAAGCCTTTCATTAACTGAATATTAATTTTATTTCTAAGCAGGTCAAAATTAATGACATTAAACAGAGTGAGAGAGAGAGAGAGAAATTCTAAGTTTATGAATGCCAACGTTACATTCAAGGAAATTTCTCAACTATTAACTTATATAGTATATACATGATATAATGATAATATAAAATACATTGTATAATTATATTTGTTGTCTGTTTTATGTCTAATGTTAATATCAAATTTAACCAGACTCAAAATTACTAATCCAGTCCTCACACTGGTCAATATAGCATCATGAGCATCTCAAGACAGCAGCATAACATTGTTCAGCAAAATGAAGCATGCATGATTAAATGCAAAAGGTTTAATGATGGAAGATGGCAGCATTTTAAAAGTGTGCCAGACTCGTCAGTACCATTCATGTGTAATTCATTCATAAAGTTAGTCATCACATGAAGGCCCAGTCATAAAGTTGCTTTCCACATACACCCAAACTAACATACACAGTATATCTGCGTAATGTAGACAGAAAAAGGAAATAATAGATTGATAATGCATTGAATATTTGATCTCTTATGAGCACGTCAGTTCATAACATCAGGCCACACACACAACCTTTCGTGCCTCACACAGCAGTTCGCACAGTCGAACCTGAAATCCACATTTGATTCTCTGAAGTCTGTCATGCGGGACAAGACGCGTTTGGCACCTGGAAAATTGTGTTTTTGTCTGCAGTTCATGCAATAACCCAGAAGCTTACATCCGAATCTCGTGCAGCAGGTCTCTCGAATAGACACTGAGTGACAAACAGATGCAACTTGAACGTCTTGTAGCACATCACCGCCAAGAATCAGTCGAAAAACCAGATAAATGCAGCACAAATCTGCGGGACTAGCTTTTCTAATGCTCAGACAGAAAAGCAAAGTACAAGTCGAACCAGTAAAAGCAACTCTTGCGGCGTTCTAGGAGATGGCTCGCTATGTTCCAGCCTTTGTATCAACGTTAGTGTTATACTACCACTAACCGTTTGCAGCTGGATGCTATTAACTATTGTGTATCAAACACAGCACATTCACGCAAACTAATGAGATGACTGAGAGCAGGAGGCGATCGAGCTCGCGCTGTACCAGCAGCATCAAAACATGTTTAGGCTACTGCAGAACAATTCAGCTGCGGTTGCTACTCACATGTTTGGCAATGATTGCAATACGAGACGAGACAGATGAAGGATGCGAACAGCAGTCTACGCTGGATGCTACACCATCGGACTTGGCGGTCGGCGTGGTGGTCGTTTTTGATGCTTATTCTAGTGGTAAGACTAAGAAAGCGCGAAATGCGTGAAAATACAACAGTGAAGGCAATTGTTTTTTCCCCGTAACGCCCCCTTGCTGCGGCACGGGCCTCTCTGTGACATTTCCCGACCACCAGGGTGAGAGTTCAGGCAGACAACGAGGGCTGCTGGAGCGACAAGAAGGTAGAATATGCTGGAGGACCAGAAGATTGGGTGTGAATGTGTTTGAGCATCACACGATGACGTGTTGGCAGCAGCTCTGTTTAAATCCACCTTGCAGTCATTTAAGACAGACGAATCTAATTCCTATTGGATTTATGCGTTCAGCATTCTCTCAAACAGGTGTTTTACGATTAGACAAATGGCTAAAACTTTACTTCTGAATCGCTTGTAACTGTGCCATGTTCATTCCTTTGGTTAATATCAACTGTCAAAGAGTTTATAGAAGAAGAATAGAAATTTAGCTAGTGTGGAAAAAGTTTAGGCTAATCTCAGAGCCATTTGTATGAGTTTATGTAAAAATAAGCATTCCCTACGTCTTATAAAAAGATAATTAATTTTAACATTTAGCTTAAAACACATGTCCGTTTTTAGAAACTACATTTTTAAATTAATTTTAGTTTCATACGTTTTTGAAAAACAGGGATACCTTTTTCTACCAAAAAAAAAAGTTTTTACCATTAAGTAAGAAGTGCTATATACTTTCCTTGCACCATGGATACACATTAACTTCATCATTATCTTCAAAATGTTTTATAATATATATATATATTCTGTTTATTTTTACAAATGTGACCCTGGACCACAAAAGTTATCCAGAAAAGAAAAAGTGTCAGTTTTTCGAAATTGAGATATTTATACATGCTGAATAAATAAGCTTTCCATTGATGTATGGTTTATTAGGATCGGACAATATTTGGCCGAGATACAACTATTTGAAAATCTGGAATCTGAGGGTGCAAAAAAATCTAAATATTGAGAAAATCACCTTTAAAGCTGTCCAAATGAAGTCCTTAGCAATGCATATTACTAATCAAAAATGAAGTTTTGATATATTTATGGTAGGAAATATACAAAATATCTTCATGGAACATGATCTTTACTTAATATTCTAATGATTTTTGGCATAAAAGAAAAATCGATAATTTTGACCCATACAATGTATTTTTGGCTATTGCTACAAATATACCCCAGCGACTTAAGACTGGTTTTGTGCTCCAGGGTCACAAATATTAAGGATTTTGAGGGGGTTTCTATGTCTGACGTTCCAAAAGATGCTTTTCTTAAAAAGGTCAAATATCTGATATGTTAAATTCTGAAAAATATCAGGTAACTTAATCATTATTTTCAAAAATGTTTTCTAAAAAAGAGAAATATATAAATATAAAATAAAATATATAAATAAAATGTTTCTCTGTTTGACAAAAGAAGTCTTTTCATAAAAAGGTCAAATATCTCATATTTAAAAAAATATATTTTATGACTGCTTAAATGTTTTCTTATTTATAATACAGTAAGCTAGGAATGTCCGTCAATCTTATGGCATATCCTTTTTAACCTCGTTTTTTACTGAGGCTAATATATAATTAGGAAATGAATCTCAACTGTAAATCTTAGTCTTTTTCAGACACGGAATACAACTAGAGAAAATGGATACATCAGCATCAGGTATCAATTACATGTCTGTCAGCCTGTAAAAGGCAACAACAACTTTGCTGCAAGTTTGATCAAATTTAAGAAGTTAGAGGCATATCATTGGGATAGAATAGGCTGTTTGTTTTACATGGAGCACATTCCGTCATTGTGGTGACCATGTTAGGATCACATGATTTCACAATCCAATCCTTTCCTGATATATAACATGATATATCATATGATGACACATGATATATAAAATCTCACATTATGTAAGTAAAATGGCAATTCACATTTACTTTCTTGTTCAACATTGATGTTAATTTATGGATTACTCCTTTCAGGGATTTAACCTGCAGCCTCTAAGTACCAAGCTCAGATAGTTAACCACTACATTTTTTCCACCCAGAAAGTGTGATTTCCAGCACTTTGAATTCAGCTAGCTCAAGGCATATATGACATTTTTGAGTGTCAAAATGCCCAGATGACCACACACAAAAAGGAAACTTTGCAGACTTTTAATTCATAAACAGCTGTTACGGAACTGCTCTGAGACTGAGTGAGGATCCAAATGCAGTGTTTATTTGGAAAGTCCAGAATCGAAATCAGACAGCAAGCAAGGGTCACACAGGCAATCAGTCCGACTAAACAACAAGGTAGAGAACACAGGCAAAAGGGTAATCCAGAACACAGGCTAAGAGTCCAAAAACCAAGATACATATAAACAGGAGAAACGCTCAGAGATGCACTTACAAGACTTCGCCAAGAATGACAAACTAAACCAGACTATATAGGGTGAGCAGACAGGGTAAATGAGACACAGGTGCAAACAGTGAGTGCTGATGAGTCCGGGCAAAGGATTATGGGAAATTAAGTCTTTGATGGAGTGGTAGAAGTCTGGGATGGAGTGCCCTCTAGTGAAGCTCACGGGCACTCCAGCTAGAGATCGTGACAACTACATTGCTTTAATCGTAAGAAGTAGTTTTTTCGTCAGAGAAGATAGCAGTACAAAGAGTAGTGAGAATGTCTTCATCATACTCACTAGAGTCCAGTCGAGGCTTAGCATGTGGAGGCTCAAAATCATCAACCATGGCAGAACTTTCGGCAGCAGCAGAAGAGGAGTTGTCAGAGAAAATAGTCCTCTTTCTCTTTCTTGAGCCTGTGACATAAGACAGAAGTTCCTCACAATCAAAGGCTGCAGCTTCCATGTTGTGGTAAGTGATGACATAAGGACTGAGCGGGAACTTGTCCTTGTCCTCTTCCTGCTCTATGACGGCATCAGTCTCAGTCTGTTCATTGTATGCATCAACAGAGAGGCCTAGTATTTCAAAGATGTCCTCATTTGCATGAGGAGAAGGTGCTGAGAAATCCAAATTCTCAAGAAGCTCCTCAAACATATTATGAGGCACAGAGGAAGATGGATTCTTCATGTTGCTGCTGTCATCAGCTCTTTTTGTCTCATCCACATTAATGCCAAGATTCTTCACCTTATCCTTTAAGCTGGCAGGCCAAAAGACTGGTGGAAGGTTGTAAACACCTAATAATTTCAGTGGACTAAGCTCCTGTAGATTTGGTGGATCCCAGATCAAATCTAAGTATAAAAAACATAATAAGCATCCCAATATCTTTTCACCTGCTGATAAACTACATTGGTGTGATATTCATGTTGAGAAATTACTTTCAGGTGTGATAACACCAAATGGGGTCTCAATCGCATCAGATCTTGGAAGGGCCAAATTGTGGCTGGTAGATGGCCCCTTTACTCTGTAATCCTGTGAGGGTGGAGGTGGAGGTGGCATGAAGTAATTTTCTGTCATGACGGGTCCTTTAAAATTATACAATGCCATTTAATTTAAACTTGCAAAAAAATCTTTAAATCTGATTTAAATTATTAATGCAAATACATTTAACACAGCATTTTGGAAGAATGATTGAAAAATAAGTAATAATTACTAAATTATTTATTATTTATTTAATAACTTACTAATACAGACAGTTAGGTAACTAAGTTATGAACTAAGGTTCACTTACTGATGATTAATTTGGTTTAAATCAGTCAGTTCAAGCAGGAAATCATGCTCTCTTACCATTATTCTGGCATATTTGAGGTGCTGGAGAGCAAGAAGGCTGCTCGTGCCCTGGCTTGGGCTGGGACCAGTCGCGGGAATTCATTGAAAAGTATATGTTTGTGGAAAAAATTTGCTCTCTCAAATCAGAAAAGACACACATGCTCAATTGAGATAGTTACCAGCCCAATTAGCCCTCAATATTCTCATCTGCTATGTTAAAACATTCCTTTTATGATATCATAGTTGCAAGTTTAACAGCTGCATAAATTCACTTAGGAAAGTTCAAATACAAACAAAAATACAGAAAAATACAAAAGTACTAAATGCAGATATATAGACAATTTACAGAATACATTTTTACTACCATTAAAAGCTTTTTAATTACAGCATGTTCAACATTTTTAAATATTTTAACATTCTTAAATATTTTTATTTTTAATGTTTTGCATAAACCATTTTGAGGAGGTAGAATAATAAATAATAATTGTGCTAAAAACATCTTTATGTCAGTAGTAGGATAATGCATCCACATAACATACACAGTTTCGTTTAATTTTTAAAAAATAATATCAAATTTCATCATCAATCATGAGGTTAAACCAAGGCACAATCTTGTGTTTTCTGAGATTGGTTGATTGCAAACATTCATCTAATTGAATTTTAATTAACTGAAATTTAAATTGCTTTCACAAAATTATCACATAACATAAACTATAAAGCCATTAGGTTTTTATTTATTTAGCTTTTCTTTCTTTTATTTTATTTTTTTATATTTCACCACATCCAAAATTAATAATAAATTAATTCACAATAAAAATTCAGTTGACAAAATTTACATTTAATTTATTTCTTACTTTTATATAACACTGTACTGCAATTCCATTTTAAGAGTAAAAATTAGATTAATAAACCAGTTTCTCCGACAGAGGAGTTCACATAACCACACTTAAATAATGAACTAAGGAAATGTCCATTTTGATTTACCACAGAATTATGAGACACAGTAGCTTATTGTGCATATCTTCATAAAATAGTGTTTTGAATGAGTTACAATAAGGCACTGCAAATTTCTAATAGCTAGTGTGCACATGTACATCACATGTCTACAAGTAAAAAAAAAATGGCTTTGGAAGATTTTAAAAATATACTGCACCTCTCATAGAAACAGTCTATCGAACACATGAAAATAGCCTACAGAGGGACTCATGTTCATGGTCTGTAGGCTACATTTCCTTGGTGCTCTTACCCAGCCAGAACAAGGGAATACAAGTTTTCCATGAGATCTTTGTGTTCATTTGCATATAATATTCAAGCCCGCACATTATTTATTAAATCTATACATATACACGCACACATTACAACAGATATTTATATATTTATTGTCAGTGACGGGGGTCTGTTGTCGTTTTTGAGGCAGTAAACGGTTCGATTATACCAGCACTTTTTGCCCTATTGATATTTGACACATCTGTCACAGCTAATTTTCAAAGCTGGCATCTGTTCCAGCCCAGCGCAGCGCCGCGTTGATCTGCTTGAACACACCATTCAAGCGCATTACTATGCTAAGTGATCGTTTTACAACATGAGGAAGCGGCAGATGTTTACATCCCTCTCTCTAGTGGCCAGCGCTTCAGTAGTATTGTACGCGAGAGCAGCCTATCCTTCTTGCACGCCCACTGTCTGTTACACAAACTTGTATCATGATTTCAAGATCACTCCGGTCATAGAAGGCCATCGAGACGTCTCTCTTCTTCAAATAGCATAGAACAGCGCTTCGACCTGTCAATTCAGGTAAAGTCAGCAGCGTTGTTATTTAGTAGCCTACAACAGGCAATTTGCTTGGCTATGTCACTTATTAGTCCGTCGTATGAATGTGTGAACTAAATTCCACAATCAGTATCGCGCGTTAAATAATATTCTGCCATTCGCGTGAATAAGATTATGCAAACCCATCATGCTGTTTAACATTTTTTGCACGAAAAAAAGTCTATATTGGTTCTATACGACGTTCTTCACATCGTCATCTTCGTCTTTCAAAACAATTTTACGAGTCGTACAGTGCCTGAAGTCGATCCCAGATAGAGTAGGAAAACTGAACTGGCAATGAACCAAAAGTATTTAGAAAACAGTTTATTTTTTAGTATGTTAGTTTTGTTCTGTTCAGTAGTCTACCCAACAGCTAGATAGCATAATATTGTCATATTTGCATGTTTTACTTATTTACTTGTTTTTGTGCTGATATTTGTATATTCATATGTGAGCTTTTTGTACGATTGCTTTAATTGCGAGAGAAGGCCTAATTGTGTTGTCCTAATTATTTTACTGCAATTGAGCCCTAAAGGTCTCACATTCTGTGGAGATAAACTTTCAGACTTGGAATAAGTTATACAGACAAGGAGGGTGCAGAGCAATTACACAAAAACAAATGTGTTACATAATGTACTCAGATGTACTCAAATGCTAAGAAACCTTATTTTGCCAGTTTGCATTGAAAGGATGTGGATTCCTATGCTGAGTTTGACTGCTCTGCCACACGTTGGTGGAATATTTGGAGGTTTAATTACACGGAAGGAGGTGAAGACCTGGTACACCAGGCTCAATAAACCCTCATGGAGGCCACCTAATGCTGCCTTTCCAGTGGCGTGGACCACTCTCTACACTGGCATGGGGTTTGTTCAAACATTGGGCACTTATTATATCTGGCAGTTATGCATTTAGTAACTTTGAAGGAAGTTGTAGTTAAAAGTTAATGAGTAACTAAAGGTAATTCCGGATGGTGTAAATTATTTTCTCTTTTTTTTTAAAGCTACGGTTCATACCTTGTGTGGAAAGAGCTTGGAGGCTTCACTCAGGATGCATTGTTACCACTGGGGCTCTATGGGATGCAGTTAGCACTTAATTGGGCCTGGACCCCCATCTTCTTTGGCGCTCACAACATTAAGCTGGTTAGATATTATTCTGAGTTTCAAAAATCCTACTGTTATTTCAGTTAAAATACAGAGAAACTGCTTAAAAGGTAAACCAGGAACCAGTTTTTCTGCATATAGTCATTGTGAGATAGTATCAGAGATTTTTGTGAAGACTTAAAAACTAATTTATTCATTCTAATGTCATTCCAAGCCTATATGCATTTCTTTCTTCTGCTGAACACAAAAGAAGGTATTTTGAAAAATGTTAGTAAACAAATGGTTCCCATTGACTTCTATTGTATTTTTTGTCAATGCAACGGAAGTCAGTGTTTATATAATGTCTTGTATGATTAACTATAGTGATGTTCTGTGGGAAGTTGTGGCCTAATGGTTAGAGAGTCGGACTCATAACCCAAAGGTTGTGGGTTCGAGTCTCGTACCGGCAGGGATTGTAGGTGAGGGGAGTGAATGTACATCGCTTTCTCCCACCTTCAATACCACGACTGAGGTGCCCTTGAGCAAGGCACCGAACCCCCAACTGCTCCCCGGGTGCCGCAGCATAAATGGCTGCCCACTGTTCTGGGTGTTGTGTTCACGGTGTGTGTGTGTTCACTGCTGTGTGTGTGCACTTTGGATGGGTAAATGCAGAGCACTAATTCCGAGTATGGGTCACCATACTTGGCCACATGTCACGTCACACTTTCTTCTTTCATATCTAGGCAATGATAGAGATTGTGATGCTGACTGGCACAGTGGCAGCCACAATGGTGTCTTGGTATCCCATCAGCCGCACTGCAACTCTTCTCATGGTACCATACTTGGCCTGGCTCTGCCTCGCTACCAGCCTCAACTACTGCATTTGGAGGGATAATCCAGACCCCAAAAAAGATTACTAAAGAGGCCAATAAAAATTAACACTATTCTAACTAACACTGACTAGAACAAAAATGCAATCATGCTTTTTTATTTTGCTTGTTGGCCATTTTGAAGTTACCTTTTAATAATGAAGAATTTAGTTTATTTTTTTATCTTCACTTAAAATTTTGTAATATCAGAAAATTCACAATGTATCTTAATTATAAGAGAAGGAAAGGCAATAAAAAGAATGTTCTATTGCTTCCATGACTTATATAAACTCATTCCATCAATTCACTTGAGTTCAGCATTTTACACAGATCACTTTATAGGCTCTTCAAACTCAAAATATCTCTGATAAAAGGAAAATGTTTTGCTTGGTTCTTGCCAATTTTTTATGAATAAAAATGTTTTCATGACTCTTGGTTTCTTGGAAGGAAATTTAGTTAAAACATTACACTTTTTTTCAAACACCAAGCTCTCGTCATAAACCTTTGTGGCTGTGCAAGGGTGGTGGTTTGGCGAAGTTTTTATCATCTAGCTATCTTCTGTGAACATATGTTGTCATGGCACATACCATATTATCAATATCTGCCAGAAAATTCCCCAGTGTGCATCAGCTTTGTTATTTCACTTTTCTGTGCAACTTTCTATTACTAAACTGCACTTCAGCTGTTATTCCATCATAAACCTAAATTATAAAAAAAAATTCACAAACATTATCATAAATCAAATAAAAACAAATATTAATCACCACACTTTCTTATATGGTGCATGCATTCAGCCAATAAAATGTTCACATCAATATATTAGGAATAAACACCTGTGTATAACCCTCAATGAAAGCTTTTTTTTTTAAATAACCATTTTGAAATAACCAATTCTTCAAAACACACCCATCTAGAAAAAAATATATATAGTCTAATAAAATGAAGGCCGTAAAAACAGTATACATATGAGCAAAAACCATAAAGAGTGTACATAATTCAGCATGGCTTTTATCCAGTGAAATCAAAACGAGAGATACTGGACTGCTACAGTACATGGGAAATACAAAAAGTATTTATTTTCATTATGGATTCAAGAGAAAGAATATGCAATAAAACTGAAGAGTAATATTCTATAACTGAATATTGTTATTCCAGATTAATCACATTTCTCCCACTTTTAACTCAGTCTTCCAAATACAGGGTATATACAGGAATCATGGAGTTAAATTTATTACCTTTCAAGACCCTTTTTAAGACTCTTTCCATACATTTTAAGACCTCATCGCCAGTCCCAAGTTTTAACTGGTTACATCGGCGACACTTTAACCTGCATTTATTATATATTGATTGTAAGATAGCACAACTAAACAGACTTACTTTGTGATAACTCCTTATCAATACAACATAATTCAGAAGTCAAAAGACGTATTTGTAACATCAACTCTTATAACTGTCTGCAAACCATAGCTCTTTTGTGGAACACTTCTCATGACAAACATCCGACTGATCAAACAGTTTACCTGTGATTACGGAGTGCTTGATTTGATGCAGACTTGACAGAGTGTCAGTACTGCACCTGATCGTGTCTGCCTGATCATGGAAGGTAAAATAATGATCACAACTATTACATCATTTTAATTGTGCATCCCAAGCCCATGCCAGTAATAAAAAAAACAGCCCAAAGTAGCGCAATTACCATCCCTAAAATACATATTTTACAGTCACTGTTATGCACATTTATCATAAACACAGCTCAAATCCTTCCTACTAGTGTGGCCCAAAACATTTAGCACAGTTTTATTACAGGTAGAATGCAAAATGTCAGAAATTCAGAGAGAGCGGGATCAACAAGCCCCGTGCTATCACGCAGCAGCACAATCAGTCAGTGAGCGCCATAACAGATGACGTCAAATCTTGCGGGATTCCATAAATCAGGGGTGCCCAAACTCGGTCCTGGAGGGCCGGTGTCCTGCAGAGTTTAGCTCCAGCTTGCCTCAACACACCTGCTTGGAAGTTTCTAGTATGCCTAGTAAGACCTTGATTAGCTGCTTCAGGTGTGTTTGATTAGGGTTGGAGCTAAACTCTGCAGGACACCGGCCCTCCAGGACCGAGTGTGGGCACCCCTGCCATAAATAAACTACACAGAACCCCACTATTCGGACAAATAGACATAATGAAAAGATGATTCAAAATGTAATACCTTGGAAAATGGCATTTAAGACTTTTTAATACTTAAGGGCCTTAATTTTCTCTAAATTGATTTATCAACTTTTAATACTTTTTAAGACCCCGCGGACACCCTGAAATAAAACAATCAGTTTTACTTCTTGGAAGTCTCTGTTCGACATGATCAACATGAAAGACCAACATGAAGAGAGCTACAGCTGTTAGAAGTGAAGATTTACATACACACCTTAATCCTTTTATTTGAAAAAGAGCAAAGGGGAATAAATAAGATCAGTGCAATATGATGATTATTTTTCAGCTTTTTCAGGAGTTCCATCTTCAAGTTTGGAGGAGAAGCGCTCCATTAGTGTCTTCCACAATCCCTTTTTCTCCTCATCTGTGTGCTGCATGTTTCCTGCAAAACAAAGAAATGAGAAAAAGTAAAAATGATGTTTCTTTTTGCTTTCTATTAATCAAAGAATCCTGAAAAAAAAATTCTATCACTGTTTCCACAAACTGTTTTGATAAGAAGAAATGTTACTCGAGCATATTTAGAACAATTTCATGTGATGAAGTGAAACTCAAGACTGGAGTAATGGCTGCTGAAAATTCAGCTTTGCCATCATAATAATAAATTAGAAAACAGTTATTTTAAATTGTAATATTAATATCACAATATTACCGTTTTTACTTTTTATTTTAATCAAAAAACAAAAAAATGCAGCATAAGAATTACCAACCCATTAATGTAGTTAAATGGAAAATTTCAGACAGCTGAGCCTAAGAAATCCTCACCTGTTGCCAATAGTATTCGGCACTCTTCCACCGTTACACCTGTAAAACTTGTATCTTTTGCCCTCGGAAACTGAAAACAAACAAACACAAGCATTACGATGCGGTCACGTTTAGAGGCTTGGGCTAATTAAACCAACAAAATTAAATATTTTATTAAAAACATAAATGTGACGAAAGGTGTTTTGACAATAAATCCAGTATGAGCACACACTGTAACTGTCTTGATCTACTCCAAAGTCCCCACAGAATATGCAAGATATGCATCTCTTTCAAAGACAAAAAAGATACTAAAATACAATATTTCTAAAGAATGCAGGTTAAAATAAATCTAAAGATACATTAAATCCAAAAAATGCAGATATGCCGTTTCTAATGTCTAAGTTCAGCAGCACTGTCATGTGGATGTTTCTGTTCTCCATAAATGTTTAGATCTAGAAACATTTAGAAAATAAGACTCACCTTTTCTTTGTACATGTTACTGTTGATGCGAGCCAGACTTTCATACATCTGATCACATTTCTCTGGATCTGAAATCTAAATTTAAACATAAGACAACATAGGCAAGCCAAGATATTTGTATAGTTACTTAAACTATTTTGGGCAAGGATATTTATTTACAAGAAAACATAACATACCACACACTGATGAGGAAATATACCTTCAGTATCAGAAAGAGCTTTATTGCCAAGTGTACTTGCACACACAAGAATTCTTCATACATACACACACGTATGTACATACTGTATACATATATACATACATACATATATATATATATATATCCCTGCCTCTGCTGAATTACTTTTATCCCCGGTGGGGATAAAAACATCCCGCGAACCCGCTCTGACGTCCCGATCTGAATCAAATGATTCGCGATACACGCTTTGAAGACCCGATCTGAATCAAATGACTCGTGATACACGCTTTGAAGTCCCGATCTGAATCAAATGACTCGTGATAGACGCTTTGAAGTTCCGATCTGAATCAAATGACTCGTGATACACGTTTTGAAGTCACGATCTGAATCAAATGACTCGCGATACACGCTTTGAAGTCCCGATCTGAATCAAATGACTCGTGATACGCGATCCGATTGAAGCGCTTCGAAACAGTGATTCATTTTGCGACACAATGGTTTAACTGATTCGGAGCTTCAAAAAGCTCCGTTGTGTTCTTTGCTCGCTTTCTCTATATAATTTATTCGTTGTTTGAATAACCGTGGAAATGAAATCATTACAATTAATAGGCCTAACGTTGGCCTACAATGTTTTTAATAAACTGTGATCACGTTAAATACAGTTTCCGTCGTATTAAAAACATTTAATAAAAATCGCACCCCATACATACATACATACATACATACATACATAGGTAAATCGTGCAGTAATTCCCCTACAATACCTGTGTATTTTCGCCTTCTCGGAAAGCACTAGCGACTCTTTGGCGTAAAAATGCTCCTAAATCTCGCCCTTTCTTTGATTCGTCCTTTGGCCATTCCTCGCACAGCTTTAGAAATCGACGGTATCTGGTGGCAGCCATGTTTAAGTGTGTTTCACAACTGCACTGTGCTGACAATCTGTAAGCCGTGGAGGGCCAAATGGTACGGCGTTTCAAAATTGATTCCTGATAAATGAAACCGCATGTCTCTCAATACGGTTTGGTCCAGTCGAGGATCCGTAGCGCGATATTGTTAACCTCGTGCTTTGCCGTAGCAATCTCAAGGTAATATCAAAGAGCCTCTGGCTTGCTCGCTAATACTAATATATTTACAAATAAAATGAGCGGAAAGAAAACAGAAGGACGATCGGCTAGTATCATGGGATGGATAAGCTCTGCTTGCCATTTCGCGGCGGACAGAAATGATTTTAGAAGGTTTGTTACCGTTTTAAACGACACGAACTGTACCTTTGCGTGCAACTCGTATACTCGAAATGACGTTCAGATGTATAGTTTTAAATATTTGCCACCATGTGACCATCTCCTTTGTTTTATTGTTATAGGAATCTCCTTGTGAACCTGGGTTTATTCGCAGCGGGTGTTTGGGTGGCAAGAAACCTTTCAGACTTTGACTTGATGTCTCCTCAGCCAGTTACGTAGTTCCCAATCAACAAAAAAGAACTTTAACAGGTGAAATAACAAATCTTGAAAGCATTGTTCACCCCTAACCATCTAAAACCGATCTGATACTTCTTTATTTTGTCTTTTCATCATAGGTGAAATGGAAGAACAGAGACATTTTCTACGATGGTCTTGACCAAGCCCATTCAACTCTGAAGGGAATAAATCCCAGCAACTGGATGGTTTCAAATGTAAATTTCTTTCTGTACATTAATTGTTTTGTTGAAATAAAGCTCACGTTTAAACGGTTGCGTACAGCCTTTTATTTAATATACATATTAATAATGAAACAATATTCAAAAAAATTAAAAGGTCCAGTATAATTAGTATTTTAGAGCACTTCATGGTGCCCATTTCTTTAAGAGCATACTTTGTTGCATTTCCACATTTGCAGTCTCCTATTTTGAAGAGAAAACTTTGATCCAGGTCTCTTTTTCTAATCCAAGGACACAATTATTCCCATTTTAGAATTTACCTTAAATAAGAATTTTTACATTTTCAAATCAAAATGCTCACTCCGGATGAATACTTCCACTATGCAATATATTGTATTGCCAAGACAAGAAAGTTACCTCGTTGGTGCAGCCAGTATCAGGGCGGTGGAAAATCTATTGTGGTTCTTAGATGGAGCAGGAAGGATTCAGGAGGTAATCCCAAAATTGTTTTGATTTCCTCTACACACACATTATCAGGAAATAGTGCATGGTCCTGCACAACAAACCAGTGTGGAGTATGGAGGAAAAATAAAATAAAATACCAAACCTAGGTAATTGTCAATCTTAAAAATTAGAGGGTCAGTATAATAGACATCTTCTAGCAGACCTTACCTTTTAACAGAGGAGCAAAAGATAACTGAAAAGGTGTATGTACACATCTTTGCGAGACACTATAGACTTTGTGACTGCCACCAACAATTAGATGCTTGAAAGTTCCCTCTTGAATCAAATGACGCGCTCTGGTGATTAATGGAATGGACTAATTGAGAACAGAAAGATAGTGGTTTAAAATATGACAGCAGAAAAAAATAGGAATTACATTAATAATATATTTTATACCTTATTTCCAAAGTCCACTAACTTGTCCAAACAAACAGCAGCTCTGTCCTCTTCATTTGTTGGACACTTCTGTCACACTCTTCCACTATATCTATACATTTAGATGCATTAATTTGTAAGGTAACATGATTTACATGTAATATTGAGCAAGTAATAAATTAGTGTCTAATTATGATATTTATTCATTATATGGGAGGCATTTATTATTTTGAAAGCAAAAGCATGATATAGCCTACCTTACGTACAGTTTCAATGGCTTCCTTCAGATTAGGGACATTAGAACAAACACCTTTAGCTCGCTTGAGGATGTTCTAAACAAAATAACAAAATGTTCACGTTCACTAAACGATGGTAACAGGATGTTCTCTGAAGAGTCTGCACATCTCTCTGGCTTGTATAAATGAAAGCCAACCTCAAGTAAGAGTGTCATTCGTGTGATCCTCTGGAAGGGAAGAATCAGAAAAGTCTCTGGCATTGTGGATCTTTCTCTAGTTTCGTGTAAGATCGTAATCAGAATGCTAGCATGCCATTATATTAAATGTATATGTTCAATATGGATGATACATGAAAACGGAACAAACAGCAGCTGAGCGATGAGAGCCTCCTGGTACATCATGTTGGTGATATATGGCACAGACTTTTTGGAAACCTTGCTGGTGATTCAAAACAATATCACCAACCTGTGACATTACCACATACTGCCCAAGATGAGACTCCATTGTCCTGCAGAAATCTGAATGAACCAAAATAAAATAATTATTATATATAGTCATCAAGACTGCATTAGTAAAAACATTAGTTAAAACAGTAATATTTTGAAATATTATCATTTTAAATAACTGATTCCCGTTTAAATGCTTTTATACATTTAAAATGTAATTTATTCTAGTGATGACAAAGCTAAATATTCAGCAGCTGTTATTTCAGTCTTCAGTGTCTCATTCTAAAATTATGATTTGGTGTTCAAGAAACATTTACTATTATTATCAATGTTAATAATTTTGTGAAAACCATGATACATGTTTTTACAGGCTCCTTTGATTAATAGAAAGTTTAAAACTTACAGCATTTATTTGAAATAGAAATCTTTGGTAACGTTATAAATGTCTATACTGTCACTTTATCAATTTATCAGTTTAATACATCCTCGTTGAATAAATGTAACTAAACTTGTGAATGGTAGTTTATGTATACAACTATAAATTAATATTTTATATTATATAAATTATATCTATAAATTAATAATAGTATAGTATAGTATATTCAAATATCTATCCTTACTGTTCACTGACTCTGCAGACATCCTTTAGGTTGGTGAACAGAACATGCTGCTGCACACGGGAGAGGATCTGTTGGAGTTCAGCTGAGCACTGAAACACATTCTGTGCTACTATCAGACTCTTCTGATACGAGGCCTCTGACACAATCAGCTCAAACATGGCCTTGACCGAAAGCACAAAAACAGAGGGATAAGAATTGTGGCATAACAGTAGGCATCAGACCAAGGTCACATTTTGCATGCAAGACTTGTTAGTGTTCTGCAATACACACCTCCTGAAGCTGGATCTCATGCACACTGAGGGAGTTCAGCAGACTCTTTACTTGCGGTAGCTTCTGCCATAGAGTGTATGGCGTAGCCTGTAGTCCTGGTGGGCTCAACACAGAGGACGGGCTTAAAGCAGGGGGAGTTTTCAGACCAGGAAGACGCATAGATGTCACCAATTCTGAAAGTCCAGTGTGCTGTGCTCGGTGTAAATCCTTCTTCATAGAATTAATCCAAAACTCCTGATATATTTTTGGAATTTTGTTTTCCGCTAGGAAAACAAAATTGAGCAGACAAAAGGAATAGCACATGTATAAGCAAAACATGCATGTTTTTTTTTTTCAATATCATATGAGATATAGCTACAGGTAGTCCAAAATGCAGCGGCTAGAGTCCTTACTTGTCATTTTGCATTATTGACACACTATTTTCCTAATTAATGCTGTTCAGTTGCTTTGACACAATCTGTATTGTTAAAAAGCGCTATATAAATAAAAGTGAGATATATCAGGCTTTTATGGCTGATGGAAGATGAAATTGAGAATAATGTAAATAAATTAGATCTTTATAACAGTATAGTAGACTACCTTCATATATCTCCCAATAATATGTCTTAGTAAGATGATATTTTAATGCTTAGTTTTATGATTAAAGTACTATAGTTTTAATTGTAGGAGGCAGAACATATAATCCAATGCAATACAATGATAATTTAAACGTTCCTTAAAAGCCTGATATATCAGATCATACATTTTAACATGATTTTTCTACAAAAAAGAATTATGGATAAATCAAGTAAACCTAAGCTGCTTCAGTCCAGTAAGTCTTCATCTTAAAATATTACAAAAAAAAGACAAACAAAAAAGTTATTCTGGTTTACTTTACAAAAAATCTTTAAAGCTTTCACAGCAAAAAGACGTGTGTTCCAAGACCTGAAGGGGTGCGTTTTTGGAATTATACTAAAAGACATTTTACTTGCTAAAAAAAAAAAGAAAAAGCATTTTATCAACCAGACAACACAAGGCCTGTAGTGGATTGTGTTCATCAGTTTTTTTTTTTAGCAAAGTTTGGATTATGATAATTTAGAGGCCTTAGAAATTTGTGTATCAAATATAATACAGTAGGCCTTATAAGGTTAAGCAAATTCTTTTCAGTCTTCGATGGATGAAATGTGACCAGGCTAGAGAATCTGGTTGACCATTTGGTGAGATTCATCTGTAAACTTCCAACTGTTGATGTACTCCGATTCAAACTGGGCAACGTACGTTTCCTCTTGTGGAGAACTGACTTCGGTAGCATCTGCCCTGAAACAAGGAAAATGGTTGAAAAGAGACAGCTTCATTTCTGTGCAAAGGCTGATGAACATAAATTAATGATTAGCTAACACTGGGTGCCTGAAATGTGTTTTTGTGAAGTATAAACATGACCTTTTCACCTCACTCTTCTCACAGTGCATGTCAGAAGATTTCAGACTGGAGCTCTCCAGAGAGAAGAGGGAGGACACAGGCAGAGAAAACCCCATAAAGTTCCATAACTGTAAGCTTGCAACAGATCTAAGAGCTTCAGCCAACCCTTCAGATGTGCTAAGAAAAAGAGAGATCAAAATGAAATTCAACACACCATCTAAAACCTTTTTAAAAAGATGCATTACAAGTCTTGAACCTTACTGTGAGATAGGCGATTAAAAGGAAGTAAAACAACAGGATAGGAATAGTTATGATACCAGGCCACGTTAGAACATAGGAATAACGAACAAATTTAACATTTATTGTTCATTTTGTTTTATTACATACCAGTAAAGTCCACCAGACGCTTCACAGTCCTCTATATTTGTTTTAAGGCTGTGTTCATCCAGCCCGGCGCGATCAGTGTCTCTGTCGGCCCAGATTCTCTCATCCTCCATGACATGAGCCATACGAATGCGGTAAACTTTCTCGCGGCTTATTAACATTTAAGAGTTTTAATGCTCAAAATTGAATTTGAATTAAAAAAATTGAATTTTCGCAGTCAATATACTGCTTTTACACAGCAAGTCACCAGTCTAATTGATTCGGAAGAGCGTCCTCATCTGTCCAATTACGCCCAACCAATTTTAATGCATTTGATTGGGCGTTGCTTTGACGAAGATTACTTTGTTATTGGCTGAACCTAAAGTCTGTGTCTTATCACGTCACATTTTTTTTTTAATTTAAAGGGGCAATTACAAGAAAATACAACAGGGTCTGTTAACTCTGCTTATAGAAAATGAAGAGCAAAGAATTCGCATCAGGTGTTTTGCAGTGTTTTGCGTTTTTAATATTTTTAAAAAGTAATTTATTAAGCCACTTTAATCTGTATCGCATAAAAACTTCATCAAAACTATAAATGTAAACAAAAATTTACCCGTTGCATCCATCGATTCCGCCATGTTTCTCATTGACACGCACCCAACTCGTTAAAATCGGGGCTTAAAGAAAGTTTCGAGTTTCCCACTCGTAATAACGACTTTGTGGTGGCGTTCATCTCGTAAATACGATCTATCCGACATGACTTGAACGCACCAGTAGATATGTGGGGGCGTGTTAGAACGAGCCGTTTTAGGTAGGCGTGGCTGACTCTTAACTTTTATAAAGAATATCTCTTTGGATTTGGGACTTTAGTCTTTGCAACTTT